AGTCAGGAAAGCACCTGGGTCTGGGTGTGTTTGGGAGCGCGGTGTGTAACGGCAGGACACACACGGAGGGAGGGATGGAGCAGGAAATACCAGGGCCCCTCAGCCTGCCAAGTGCAGAATGCAGAAGGACGTATTGAAAATAAAAGCAAGGCTGCAGTGACATTTTCATGCTTGGCTTATGACATCCTCTCCCTCTTCTACACTTGACTTCCTTGCTTATTTTTATCAGATGAAGCTGATGGTCGCTGCTACGGTAACCCTGTGCGGTTACAGCTCTGGCAGAGAGCAAGTGCTCGCTGCGTGTTTCCTTTGCGGCTTCCCTCCCCGCTCCGTGTTCGCACCCCTCAAGTCTCTCAAAACAACGTGCTTAACCTTGTTATGCCTGATTTGCAAATGCTGCCCGTTGTGATGGCTGGATTGGCCCCTCCAGTTGCTGCCCCCTTGGCCCACCGGCTACTGCCCTCTCCCCCTCTTCTTGTGCGACTTGGTCGTCTCCTGTGGGCAAAGTACAGGTCTATCTGACCCTCCAAGTACGTGGCTGCGGTTTTTTTGTTTTTTTTTTAACGTGGAAAAAGCACGACACAACTCTTGAGAGGCTGATAACGTGAGTTGGCGGAGAAAGCTCTTCATTGACAGGATAAAGCCTGATTTGAAACGACGACATAAATCCTTCTCTTTTCTTGAGCTCTTTCCTTCCCTTTCTAGATTTGTTATAAGGAACGTGGGGCGAGAGGATAAGGCCTGGTGCCCTCTCCTACCCCCTGGAAGCTAGTTTATCTCCTGAGGCCACACAACAGCCCCAGGCAGCAAGTGACGGCCCATGTCCCCTGGGAAGGGGAGCCAGTGCCGCATCAGGGCATTTACCAGGGCTCTCGGCCCAAATTCATTTATGTTGACGGAGCTTCACCTGCAATGGATATGGCTCACTGTGCTTGAAGGCATTTTCAGGCTATTCCTCAAACTCTTCCCCTAGCTGTGGCCCACAGCTGGTCTGTCCCTTCCGTTCTGGCACCCAGAGCGCACCAAGGTGTTACAAAGACCAGCCAACGCTCTCCTCGTGCTTCCAGCTTGCGCTGTGGCTGCCCGTGCAGCGTTACAAAGCTGAGGCTAATTCACCTCTCCTCCCCATGTAGGGACGTATAAGCAACTTGCCCCAGGCGAGGGGCTGCGGTTTGGGCCAGGCAGTGCCCCTGCCGGGGGGGGGAGGCTCCTCAGGCATGAGAAGCCTCGCGCCGAGCCCCTGGGCTTGCTCCAAAATGAGCCCAAGCCTCTCTGTGCCGCCCCCCCATAACACCTTGGTTTCATCTTCACAGGGCAGCTGGCATAGAAGAACTGAAGTATGCTAAGAAAGGCAATATGCATACCATTTTTGATGCGACTCCCTTTCTTGCAGTCCCAGGCTACTTCTGAATAAACAAGGGATGAATATTGCCAGCCTCATTTTCAAAATGGAGAAACATCTAGGGGTGTATCCAGGCTGCACTTCCAACCCTTTGGATATGCACAGGAACATAAAAACACAGGACCAAAAGGTCTTTTTTTGTCCCCAAGTGCAGTCCCCGCTGCCACATGTAATCACTCCTTACAACCCCACCCCCATCTCATAGCTGCTCATGACACCCTCTCTCCTTTCAGCGTGTTTCTTCTTTTCTCTAATTCTGCTCGTAACCTTGTTCATAAACTGCACTAGCACCAACCCTAGACATTTCCCAAATGAAGCTAGCACCCTTTACAGATTTTTCTGCACTCAGTTCACCCCTAGGTGTTGTGCCTTAAACCTCTTCCCTCCTGCTAAAAACAACACTCCCAAACTTGCGTTTTTGTCATGCCCGATTTGCACTTACTTCAACAGATCTACTCTCCAGACAGAGACACGTACCTCTTTCTGAAGGTGGAGTCTACCCCTAGCTGTAGATAAGAAAGACATTTTTCATCAGAATAGACAAAAAGCTGGGGATGCTTGTTTAAGCAGAAGGAACGAGCACGCAGGGGGATGCAGTACCAGCCAGCAGGGCGAGCAGGAGCTGCTGTACTCAGTATCATGACAGCGCCCGTAAGACCTTCTCCCTCCAGCCTGTTCGGCCCTTTCCTACACTATGCCCAGATGGGCCAAGGAGAGCAGAGCGGTGGCTGCTCTGCCCGCGCACTGTGTTGGGCAGATCCAGGCCAGCTGCAGTCAGGAAGCTACAGAGCCACGTTAACATGGTGCTCAGCCTTGACCTCATACACCCTGCTTAGAAGATATATTAGCTCAGACATGCCTGGTCACTCAGTGGGGCCTGTTAGCCTGGGCACGGTGCCACACTCTGCTTCCAGATGAGCATTAGCTTGCATCTGGATGAGGGGACGAGCAAGTGCAGGTCTGCCTAGCAATGCTGCTGTGCTTGGCATGCTATCGACACTGCGAACCTCTGGGGAGAGCTGCAGTGCGGGAACTGTCATGTGCATTAGCACAGGGCACAGCTGGGGATATCTGCAGACTTCACCACTGCTTGCTTGCACTGGACATACCCAGGCAAAGAAACCCTAAATCATTTGCTGGACAGGGCAGCAGTCCCAATCCTTACTCCCTGCTTCTCACCAGGAAACCCTGAAACATGGCAGCAATGACCTTGCAGAAAGACTACTAGTAGATACGTCTCGGAGGTGAAGGGAGAGCTGACCTCGCAACACACTTCTTGGAAGAGCAGATGCTTTGGCATACGTATGCCTGTAAGCTGCTGGAGAAACCAGGAGTAGCAAGTGCTACTCCAAGCCAAGCAGCAGCTTGCCCTTGACGAGCAAAGCTCCTTCAGATCATCCTGCAGAGCAGAGGGGTTGCAGTTTAGATCAGATCTGTGCACAATTGAATTTTACAGTGCTTCAGTTAGGGAGTCCCAGCTCTTTACGTTCTTAAAATGTCTTTCCTTTTCTGTCCAATCAAAAATAAGCAGAAAACCACCACTCATTTGAAACATGAAACAGTTCAGAGCTTTTCTTTTCTCCTCTAGCAAGGATTTAGGGATTAGGTAATTGCTCTCATTTATACAAAGATGTTTGGTTTCCAGGATTGCTTTTGGAGAGCTCAGAGCACATAAATTAGAGGCCATTGCTCCTCACACTCACATTTTGCTCCTCATGACTAGACTAGCATTTGAGGGATCTGGTTTTGTTTCTAATTGTGCTTCAAGGCTTCTCAGAGCAAAGCAAGCAGTTGAAACCAACACCACAGGGATGGACTTCTTGTCCTCAGCTGAGGGCTCCTTGTGGGGCTTAAACAGGAAGCAGGCAGTCTGAGTTATCCTCACCCAGCAGCCAGAAAAAACACCATCTGCCCTGCCACTCGCAGAGGTGGAGTGTGGTTACATCAGAACAGGACTCATACTTGCACTAGGAAAGCCAGTCCAAGGGGTAGCTGCTCCCTATGCGCGGTGGTGACGGTGAATTATCTTTGCACTTCTGGATAGCAAGAAATTTTGCCTGGCTACACCGTAACATAGGCAAAGCCCCATGAAAAAAGTTCATCTGCTCAGTGTGTTTCAAGCAACTTTGTGCTTTGCTCCAGTTAAACAGAAGTGGATACCCATAGAAAATATCAGCCCAAATATATGGGAGAGGGTACAGGCTGAGAAGGAGGCAGTGCACAGCTTGCTGTGGCATCAGTCACCATTATGCAGCAGTGTGGAGAAGGACAAATGCCTCAACTGTAAGTGAGAGCCAAGGGTACTCGCTTTCAAGAAGGACAAAATGAAAAAGAAACGTTGCTCTCCTTGCAAAGAAAGGTCCTTATGCACCCCAAGATGAAGTTCTTAGGCTGACTCAGAGCCACCCATTCAGCAGCAAATTCATTTTCAGTTGGTGATGCAAGTTTCAATTTGACCATAACAGCTAAAGCCAAGGAACAGGGAAGACCTTCCTTCCTGCCACAGCTGTCCTGCCAGCACTGCTTCAGTCCTGACATAAGGCAGACCATCACACTGAGGGTGTCCTGCTCACAGGTCAGCCTCTTTCCAGCTCAAACTTAGCACAAAGCCTCACAAAACAGCGAGTAGCTTCATTCTAACATGAGGCAGAAGAAATCTGTTTGTGTGAAGCGCATGGAAGCAGCAGATAAGTTCAATTCATCTGCTGTTTCCGTAACCCTGAATAGTACTGTATTTTAAGCAAAAACCTCATTCTGGGACAGGACTACACAGTCTCTCCAGGGATTTCAGACTGGCATTTCATCTGTAAAGTGCTGCAGCATCTCTATGAGGATAGCAGCTCTAAGTCTAAGGAAGGGAAGAAAACAATCAAGGCACCTGAGCTAGAGGCTAATTAAGCACAAGAGGAGAGAAGTTTCACTTTGTATTTGCATTTCTGTGGAAGAAAACATCCACAAGGGCCAAGCACAACATAAGTCAACATCTTTGGACCACGGGGCTCACATTGAACATGCCCTCAACTCAAGCATTTAATCTGGAGCTCATTAGTTAGCGTATTTAAACAAGTCTAGTGTAAACCTAACTCTAGTCTCAGCCCAGTTTGTTCGCATAGGTAAGATTAGAGTCCGTTACTTACTGAATCACAGAAACTTCTCCCCTTGTATCTGAAAGGCACAAGTATTCCAGGGATTTGGTTCTTATCACCTGGTTTCTTAGTGGAAAATTAATCCCATTAAGTATACAATTTGAATTACTGAGGCCTGGTGTGGTCAGATTTCCACACCCAGGAAAGTGTCTTGGTACCAAGCAAGCTTATAATCACCCTCAGAAAAGCAGTTTCCTCCAGACCCCTCTGACAGCACTGCAAGCCACAGCACACAGCCATAGGTGTGTAACAAGGCACTAATGACTCCTGAAGAGGTCACCTTCAGACCTGAAATGGCCAAAGCGGACAACCTCATGCAGTTTGCTTGAAGCTCTAACAGCAGACAGCATGGCAAGACTTGTTTTCATACTTGGTGCTCAGGGCAAGGTAAGAAAATGCACAAGTACATTTTCCTACTAAGAACAGCTAAGAATGCCTCAGTTCTCCATGACTTCACACTCTGTGGGTTAGCTAAAGGGTAGATTTTTCAAGATCATAAGCACAGCAAAAAGCAGCCGTAGGAAGATGCAAAGCAGAGACACTGCCCCTCACTCCAAGTTGATTCAGGCACATGAGTCTCATACATACATGCTTTGAATTAAGCCATACATGAAGCACAGAGGTCACTAGGCTCACAGAACAGCCTCAACTCGGACATGAGTATTTTAACAATATTTGCATTAGCCTTGCAAGCCAGCACCTCATACCCGAAGTGCAAAGACCAGCCATCATCTGCAAGGTTGACCATCCAACCCCCTTTGGCAGCAAGAACACAAAGCCAGAATGTTTGGAAAGCATTTTCAAACTTTATTTACAACTGTCACAGTGACAAAAATGTAGTTTGAAAAAAATGCTAGCTTCTCCCTGAGGCTCAAAAAAGAATTACAGAAATATAGAATGTATATCATACAACAGGAGGAGTTTTACTGGAGTGCTTTGTTCTTTAGATACGTTCAACAACAAATAGAAATATACACAATACTTCCAAAAAAGGATGCAGACAGAAATATGCAAGTCTTCAGGGCAGACAGCAGATGTGAAGTCCAAGGATTGCCATCTCATTGCTGCCCACATGGTAGTATCTTTGATAAACAGCTTTGAACTTGGTGGTACAGACTGGAGACCAATAGAGAGTAACACTTAAAAATAAGACGACTGGCTGGTATGCAGGTGTACAAGCTCATTCCAGTAAGACAGCAAGACTAGAACACGTGTTACGGATACAACAGCTGAATCCATTGTTCAGAGAAAATGGTATCACTACATCATGACCATTCAGTGATAAACTGTCCCCCAAAACTGGCAGGGAGCATGCGTAACTGGTTCTGGGTTGCCAGAATAGGAAGAGACCAGCTGCAGTGTCAGGACACTGAATTTCTCCTGCTGTGTGCTAACTAGTCTCCAATCTCATCTGTCTGAAACAGTAATGCAGAGCTGATAAGTTATTGCCATTATGTTTATACACAAGCAAGACAAGACTAAAACAATCCTGCCAATACGTTAAAAGCAATTCTCAACCCCCACCAGCGTTTAACTACTCATGAGGTATTAAAAATACAAATACACACATGTCCAAATAGATTTTAAAAATGGAACCAGTTATAAGCAAAGGGGGGGGTGGCATTGGGATTATTATGAAAGTTTGGTTAAGGCCTTGACATTTCTTTTTCTTCTTCCATGACCCAGATTTGGTTTAGGTGGTAACTGTTCTCATCCAATTCCAAAACCAACTGGCTCCCAAGCTGGTTCACAAAGCTGCTAGATCATCACTTTCCAGGAAAGCAGAGGGTTAGCCTGTCCTGCAGCAGACCTCCCTCCTCCCCAAACACAGACAGATTACTTCTCCTTGGAACAGGATATGGTAAAAACGCTGTAACTACAGACTTCACAAACCTGTCTGCACTTCATTAAACACCCCTGCACGTCTCTCTCTTGTTACAAGCCAGAAGCATTTCCTGTCTAGGATACACAGTACAATACTCTCTGAACAGTCCTCTCCTGCAAAACCCCCCTCTCCCACTGATGATCCTTGCTAGATCTGGTGTTTCCCCTTTGGGTTACCTCCCCGCTCAGGTTAGGCAGCATGTCCCTGCCCTGCGCACCCCACAGGGGAGCAATCAGGCCTGTCCTGCACTGCCAGGGCTTTGAGGAGGCCCTGCAGCTCACGAAGCTGGAGGAGATCCCCCATCCTGGTCCTCACAAGCCTGGTGACCAACAAGTTTGAGACATGAAACCATACAGCCTCAAAGACATCAGGTGTAAGCCCACCCTCTGGATACAGTTGGCTTTGGGCACTGTAGCAAGATGAGACTTATCACAGTAGCCCCGGCAAACAGGAGAGAGAAATCCGAGGTGTTTAAATCTACGCTAGCTCTTGCTGCAGACAGAAGAGTCTTTACATCAGATTCACATTACCTCATGCTAACCATCTGCAAGATCAACTAGGGCCTTGCAGTATAGATGACAAGCAGCAGCCTAACATTATCCTGCAAATACAGCTGTTCAGCATTGAAGAGTCTAAAGGCAAAGAGAGGGGAGAAAACAGCTTTGGGAAAGTGGCTGGAACAGGCTCAACAGCTAGAGCAAGAAACCCACTACTCCCTACAGATGCTCACATTACTCTAGGAGGTGCTGGACTGGGGAAAAAACTACAGGCCCCTTGTCAGTAGAGCATTTAGTGATACTTCACTACAGACACCCTTCTACCCCCAAACACACAAAAATGGAAGCTTTAAGAAAGGCAAATCTGAGAGATGACTATTCTCATGCTTTTAGCTAGAGGCAGTTCTCGGCTGAACACTGCTGCATTTTACTTCTTTATTCTCCCTCCCCAAGCTCCCCCCTCAAGCATTCCTCATGTGTTTGCCCTCCGCCATGCACTTGGAATTTCTCTGCTGCCTCAGCCTCGGAAAAATTCAGATAGTGATCTCGAGAACAGCAAACATTTCTCTGCGTTACTTCCTTCCTTCCTCAGAAGGACTGGTGATTCTGTCACATCGAGGGCTTCAGTTCTCGATACAGAGAATACAAAAAAACTAAGATCTTGCAGGTGCAAAATTGAACTTGTCTTTTTTTAAAAAAAAAGACTTTCAAAAGAAGTGTGGCTCTTCTTTCAGAAGGGTGCAGTCCCTTGCCTTTCCTCAGATGACGTTTATTGCTCCTTGTTGTTCTTCTTTGCATCTTCACAGCTTTCTTCCTCCTCCTCTTCCTCCTCCTGCACAAGGAACTCTTCAGGTGGCCATCTCAGCTCACCACTCTCCACATCACCCTCTGTCGGCTCCACCACAATTGAGGGCAGACGGTCCTTCAGCTTACAGTAACGATCAAAGTCCGAGGGATCAGGGAAAATCTGAAAGAGCCAAGAAACAGTCCATGAGAGAAGCTGCTTTCAAGCAGTCTTACACCAGCCAAAACCCAACTTAAGACATGTGGGTCTCCAGGGCAGACTAGTCTGGACACAAAGTAAACCACTGGGTGATGGGAAGACTCCTAAAACTTGTAAATAAGCATCTCTAATCTCCAACTAATTGAACTAAGCACTGCCCAAGAGGCTTCCAAAGCCTGCACTTGCTTGGATAGCGCTCACATACACATCTGCCCCTTAGATATTTATCTAAAAGCCACACCCCACCACCACAACTTTTGCATTCATGCTCATGAGTTTGCAAACTAAGCTAAGCTATCTTGATCCGAGAATCTAAGATCTCATTTCCTGCTTCTGGTCAAGCTACACATGAGAACGGAGTTGTTCTCCAGGCTCTGCTGCTAGAAGGGAAAGAAGGTATGTGGCAACACAGAGCTAGAGCTACCCAGAGCCTTGTGTCAAGGGCCTGGGGCTGGTACCATCCCAAGGCAGCAGTACAAGACAAAGAAATTTTGCTGCCTTTTAAAGATAACCTTGGCAGCGTTCCGTGCACTACAGTTACTGGGCGTTAGCAGTGAAAGTCAGCAGGAGGACACTCATTTTGTGGAAGTGCTGGAAACTGGTTCCACTGTCTGTATTTCTTAAGGCAGTGGCATAGCCAGGAAACATACTCTGGTGCAAGGAATGAGGATCCTCTTGTCTCCAGCTCCCCTGCCCCCCACGAAGTGCACCAAGCAGTCCTTTCCGCCTCTCTCCTTTCCATCTAGAGCTTGCCACAGGGGTGCACAGGCTCATGCACCACAGCAGACCAGGGCCTGTACTCACTGGCAGTGCCACTGGGCTGCAGTCTTTGACCCTACTAGCTACTGAAGCAAAGGCATGGGCAAAGGAAGAACCGCTATTGCACTGGAGCATTAACAGAGGGTTTGCATGAGTAAAATCACAGTCTGACCAGAAAAGTTTGCTATTGCTTGCAAAAGATGTCTCACCTAGGGGTAGAGTTTCAAATCCCAATTCTCCCAGAGCAGAACTGCTGGTTGACAAGAAGCAGTTGCCACATCGGATCACACAGCTGGTAACTAGAGTATTAATCAGTTACCACTTATTTCAAACAATTTTATTTGTTGGAATGCCAATTTCATATTATGGCTGCATTAAAACACCCTAAAAGGCAAAAGACAAATGCCAAAGCAGTTTTCCCTCAAGACTGTAGGTGAAGCCAGGAGTCAGGTACTTGCACTTTTCTCTGAACAGTGATCCACATTTAGGTAAGCTCCAAGAGGGCCCTTGCAGGGAAACAGCACCGTCAGCCTCCAACAGGCACAACGGTCTCGGGTGCGTCAGCTTGAGAGCAAGTCTGATCTGTTTTGATCTTTGTGGTTCCAGTTGCAAAAGCAGGACTCCTGTCCAGAAGACTTGAGCATTAACCACCAAGCATTATGCTCCTCATGCCAATCATGCAGGTGCCCATCGCCTTGGGAAAGGCTGGCCCGAACCCCAAAGAGGAACAGAGTCCAGCCAACTTGTTCTTCAGTCTGGCGTCTATTAACCACACCATTACCTCCTTTTCAATAGTCACATAGACTTCTAGTATTTAGCCACATTCCTCCCTTGAGTTCAAAGCCTGGAAGAGACTAAGCTCTGATCAGGTGCTAGGGAAGTAACTTGAGAAAGCTACTGGGCTGCTCTGTAAGGCAAAGCCAGGAAAGGTAACTTTAGGAAGAGATACTCAGAAAAGTGACTTGACGTGCAGGCAGGGCACGACATGCCATGTCTTCGCACACCAGCAGCCCCAGCTGGTCCTGGGGACAGCAGTACAGGGGTCCATTTCCCACAGCTGCACCTACCGCACACATGCTGTTCAGATGCACAAGCCTGAGCAAGGTCGTTGAATATGACCACATAAACATGAGCGCTGCACATGAGCTACTCACTATCAGTCACCCCCAGACCAAGTGAAACAGTATCTTTCTTAGCTTTGTGGCTTCTGCTTGAAGAAAGGCAGTTTCAGACACCCTGTACATTACTGGAAGTAGAGTCGATGGCTCTTAAGCATCAACTCATTATCTAAACTCAGGATAGGAAAAAAAATACCCTTGACATTACATTGTTTAGAAGGTTGCAATGGAAAAAGAAGTGCGGTTCAGGAGGTTATATAAGCTGATAATGTCATGAAAATAGCCTCCTGTGCAAGAAAAATAGCAGTATAATAATTAAACTAACCTTTGGCTGCTATCATTTTAAGCACATTAGGTCAAATTGGAGCAATTTCTTTGAAAATAGCCTGTCAAGAGTTTTTTCCAGAAACTAAGTAGTAGTCATTTCCTTACAAACAAATATCCCCAAAATGTAGCGTGCAGCTTTTTTAATAAAAAGCTAGCACAATCTTATCACAAACAGCTGCAGGACAGGCCGAACCCAAGAAGGTCAAGATTTTTTCCACTAAGTCATGCTTTTTAATCGTAGAGGCAGCATGAAGTGAGATGTTGCAACTGCACTTTCAAGGGGTGTGGACAGTCAATGGAAAAAATATACAAAGGCAGATTTCCTAGCATGTGACAACCAGGGCAACACAGCAAGCCAAGCACAGGGACTGAAGGGAAAAGGTTTTTAAATTAAGACTTCATTTGCACACGCAGAATAAAGGGTAGAAAAGTTACCCCAGACTCCCCAGTGACTCCAAAATAAGCCCAGTTGCCAGGCTCTTTTATACAGATAAGCAAGGACCAGCAATTTGCTGTCCCACACCAGAAGTGCCAGGCTGCATTTGACAGTACCATATGCCTAATCTGGGCCCCTTCCAGATTTAGGCAAGGGGAAGACCAGACCTGTAAGGACCTTGAAGCAAGTTCCCCTCTGGGAATACAGCAGGCTCAGGTCTGACCCAGAGCTGTGCACCCCTTCACAAAGCAGCAGTGACAGCCTGTCTAGCAAAGCTTCCAATAAGCTTTCCTGCTTGCATTACCCAGCTCATGTGCAAGGAAGACTTTGCATCCCACCACCACCTGAAGAGCACAGCAGTGAGAGGCTAACTTCTGCCCCCCTCAATCAGAGCAAGCCACCTTGCACACAGCTGAAACAGATGTCTGCTTCTGGCTGATCTGGTCCCCTGAAGGGGAAAAACAACAACTACCAACTAGTTGGTGGAGGCCTAGCTAAGATCAAATTTAGAAACCAGAGAAATTCCCCCTACCAACCCCCAGCCAACACAAGGGGAGCATGCAATTGCTTCTGCAAAGCCATAATTCTGTAGCTGAGCCCCAATTTCTGGGCTACAGTGACATCTTTAAAGCCCACAGAGGAAGTGTACATTCCTTCTTAAACCATAAAATAAAAGCAGCCTCTCACACTTGCAGCAAGAGTGGTTTTCAGAGGCCTCTCTCCAGGCTGCATTTTGAAATCTCCATGGACTGGTTCAGATGACATACAAACAAACACCCCCCACCCCCATTCTTGCCTTTCAACCGGAAAGGGCACTGAATAGCAACGCTTGAGATGAAAGCCCTAGACTTTAGGAAGATCAGGTCTGCCTCTGTTTTGGAAGATCTAGTCCTACTATCCTTGAATGAAGTCTTGGCAACAAGACTGCAATGCCTTGGGGAGGCTCATGCCCTCCCAGTATTCATAGGAACAAAGAAACACCGAGCACTAAAATCCCAGATCTGAATCTAAGTTCTCAATATAAAACTTCACTGCCACACAGAAATAAGGCAAGCTTATTCCAGGAAATACTTAAATCACCTCAGTCACCTCTTCGGAGAAGTCTTCCGGCTATAAGAAGCAGTCCTGCAAATTTTTACTCTGACAGTAGTCATGATTTGCAACTGAGCTCCATGCACTCAGATTTTTGAGCTATGAAAACTGTATAATCAGCCTGCCCTATTTCAGGGACAGTAGCAGGTAAACTTCATACACCATCACAATTTTCCAGAGTAACAAGGCACTGAGTAGGGAGGGAAAAAACATGTACTGAGACACGATGATTAGCTGTTCTCTTCAGCCTGAATTTCATAGCACTGGAGATGATTTGCTTTGGCTCCGTTTAATCCTTTTCTCAGTTCTGGCTTCATTTTAAGGTCTAAGATCCTGGCTGTTTTTTTTAGCCTGGTCATTGACTCAGGCTAACAAAATTAAGGCTACTAATGGCATATCTTTCTAGTAACCATGCACTGGCTGTGCTATGTACTATGGAAGATAAGACAGGTGAAGTTATCCTAAACTCACTTGGCATCATGAGCTGTTATTACAGCCCAGTCACAAGACCTTCAGGCAGTACCAAGCACCTTGTACAAGTCAGGTTTGCACCAACATGAAGCATCTTACAATCAAACAAGACAACTATAGAGAAGCTGCTCAATTTCTACTTTTTCCCTTTAGATCCTGGGTCAGTAACATGCTAGTCTCTTTGGGTTACATGCTCTTGCAGGCAGATCCCTGATCCTGCTGGTTTCAGCTTCCCCAATCAAGCTGCAGAGCTGAGGGTTGGGGAGGTGCTCTGCACTCACGCAGGACATCAGCAGCTCTTGAATGCTGGTACCAAGCACGTCTCCCCATGAAAGGCAGCACTTCAGCAGCATCAGCCAACTGGACCTCCACAAAGAGGTGTCACATTCACGGCAACTGATTTCCCCAATAAGATGGAAAACCCAAGCTCTTGCCATAGACACTGGCTCAAGCATTAAACCTGTTTACCCAGATTCGGTCTGTCTGACGTGATTCACAGCTAGCTGCGGCTGTGATTAACTAGACAGAGCCCAGCATGATGCGATTGTGACTTACGAGCTCGAACTCCCCATGACAACCAAACCCCAGCTGATGGCATGAGATAAGCGCAGCCTCTGTATGCCAATCTCTTCTCTTAAAAGGGAACCCGAGGTCCTGCAGGATCAACAAGCCAACCTGTCAGCCAGACAGGCAGTCAACAGGCAAGCAGCACACTCAGCTCAGGATACACAGTTTGCTCAAAATAAACACTTTGGGCATCAACGTGTTTTCAGTTGTGCTTAGACCCAGCTCCACTTCCTAGAAACAGGCAGGATTCAGGTCAAGACACTGTTTTGACAACAGCTCTGTGAAATGATTAATTCAGTCTTGAACAGGGCTCATTTCAGGAGCATCGTTTGTGCTGCTGTGAAATGGCATTAGAGGACAAGCTGGCAGAGGGTTGATTAGGCCTTTCAGAGGATGGGTATATCTAGGGGCCAGAGGAAAGCAAACAGTATATTAGCTCCAACTGGCAGTGAAAAGGCCCAGCTGGCAGAGCTGCCAGACAGGAAGCAAGCAAAGCCTTCCACAGGCACATCTGCTTGAGGCAGGGGCATCTTGAGCCATCAGCTGCATTTCAACGCGTTTTTGTTTAGTAGTCCCATAGGAATTATGGGACATCTATTAAAGATCCAGAAATAACTCTCCACTGGAGGCACAAGACCCAGCATGACATCATCTTCTCAGCTGCATCTTCTGTTTTGCCTATGCCTCCCTGTTCTGAGGCTCATGCCCCGATTTCACCATTCACTTCTGCTGAGGCCCTTTAAATCTATTGGCTGAACCATCTTCAAAGGGCTGAGAGCGCAGCTTCATATCACAAACAGTTATAACAACTGTTCTACACAGAAAGGTTTTTAAGTTAGTGCATTAGCTTGCAAGCACTGTACACATCAGCTGGACGCAAGATATTTCTGCAGACACAACAGCACATGCACAGCCTTTTCGCAAATGAAACTGCCTATAAATTACTAGGCCTACACGGGCAACCCAGTTACCATGGATATACACAACTTCTGCAATTCGAGTTTTCACATCACTGCTTTAAGGGCAGCGATGTTCAGCCCACTCAAGGCCAGGAAGCTTCAGTAACGGGGTGCCTTTAGTGCCAGACAATTCAGTTAACGCCTAGACAAACAGACACTCTAGTACAAGATAGCAGGCAAGTGAGTGCAGGGGGAGAGGGGTGGAGGCAGCCGAAGGGCAAACGTGTCAAGTTCTCGCAGAAAGTCACTAGCAAGACAGACAGGAACCCTGAAGTTCAGTGAACTCCACAGGGCAGAGGAATCGGACCGCTGAAGTTTACACCCAGTACAATTTGTTTCTTCAGTTTACCTCCTGGAAAAAGCCAAAATACTTTCAAGTAGTACTGTCTGTACAACAAGCTTGTCTGCAGCAGACACTGATTTTCTTTGCACTTCTGGCGGAGCAGCTGTACCATCTCAGCTGATGCAGACAGTTTCACATCTGAATATGGTGGTGGAAGCAAACCCCCATCTCACTGCCAGGATCTGAGGGACAAATTCCCTGGCAGTCTCCGCTCTACACAAACCAAATGGTGACATTTTGAACCCCAGTTTAAGGCCAACTGTACAGGAAAAGAAACGAAGTTCTGCTGCTGGAAGGAAACGTTCAAAATTGAAATCCTGCTTCTCCCTGTCCAGGCCCTACGCTTTTGCCTCCTGTAACCAAGTGCTATTACACTTGCACTTTGGGAACCCAACTCTGCAGATCAGCGGAGGAAGATGTTGTAGCTTAGAACGAGTCTCTCAGTGGAGGAGCAGTCATGCTCCGTTAGGCCTGTCTGGTTTTAAGTTATTGCGCTACAGCAGACTAGCATACAGTTTTCTATGTACCAGTCTCTCCATCAGCAGGATGGAGTAAGAAGAGCCAAAGCCTGAGGCAGAAACAAAGTTCATGGTGCCATTTGCATTCAGTTTGTCCTTGCTGTTTTAACTTGAATTTTCTACCTTAAGGATGCTTTCAACTTACCTTGACTTATGTTGCAACATTTTCAGTCCAGCAGTTAGAGGAAGACTGCAGCCTTCCTCTCACCAATCCTCTTTACACTAACCTGATTTAGCAGCAGACCTCATACACAGCCCACACACAGCTAGTATCCTGTCAGGATCTTTCACTTCTAGCCCTCAATCCAGACAGTGACTTCTCTGCATGATCACCAAAAGCAGCCTTTTGCCATCAATTTGGTTTGCAACACAGCAGACTACTGGTAGGCACACTGTTAACAGATCTGGCAGACATTTGAAAAAAGCAATCCACGACTAGACCACTACAGAGTGGAGATCCAAGATGCATAAGCCCTGCATAGATATGAGTCGTCAGAATTTATGACTCACACACCTTCAGGTTCAGATGATCTACTAACAACTGAGCAGGCCTGTTCCCTAGTCCACCCAAATAGATTTATCAAGGTCATAGCACTAAGGGAAAAACCTTGCTGAGGCAATAGTTAGTGCAAGCACGGCACCTAGATCTTGACTCACTATTCAGAGCTGGAAAATTTGGAGACGTAAACAGAAGCATTTGACCTGACTGGATTAAGTTTCTTCATATGGTGACCTATTAGCACAATTGTTTGAACATCCGGTGTGTGGGGGCTGGTCTGATCATTTCAGGTTTAATGACCATTCTCACTGTTGCACACTCCCTCCACAGGGGGAAAAAAGAGCAATGCCATATGCTTTCCTATTAACTAGAGCACTAAAGCAGCACAGCTCTTCCTACATACAGGCAATAAAACAAACAACTTGCATGATCTGGATCCAGAATTCTGACCCCCAAGAAGCTATGCATCTCCTTTTCTTCCCTGCAGCACTGGCTTATGTCAGAGGCCTGAGCTGCAGCCCAAAGTTCAGTTGATTTCATGCTTCAGTGCACTGTTATAGGCTTGCAGCTCATTTTTCAGACTTAAATATGCAAGCATACAACTGCACACCTAATTTGAATGCCCACTTACAGCAACTGCCTCAGTGAAGGTTGTGCAACATCTGCAAGGGAAGAACTCTGCATCAGGACCTACCGTTAAGAGTCACGCTGTGCACAGACCAGATGCACGTCATCTGCATGCACTCAACTCCTATGTTAAGTCTCATCAACAAGTCTCCTGGAGTTAGGAAAAGAGATCTAACAGACCAAGAGGCACACTCATCCTGTGATTAACTATAAGCCAGGAAATAAGAGACTGAAACTAAAGCAGTAAGACAAAAGGTCGTTTCTAAGACCATCTCCTAACCTCAGTCACTGATCTAGAGGTTAAGAGTTGATTACGTTGTCCACAACTTTCAAAACGAATGCAGCTCCTGCCTTCAGGTATCGGCATCTCCTGTGACATCTCTAGGCTTGCTTAAGGCTGTCTCTGGCCTTACCGCACGTTATGGAAGACCATTAACCCGCTCAGACAGGCCCAGCCAGGAAAACAAAGAAATAGCTCAAAAGATATACGTGTCATATACACAGCTCCCATCTGCTCTAGGCAGATCATCTGTATGCCACCATTACGAATGGAGCCCAGAGTCCTCTCACTCTCATGACTGGTGCAAATCCTGCTTTCGCAGATCTTTCCGCCTCCCGCTGAGCCACCAAGAATGCTGAACGAGGGGGAGCTTCATCACTTCAGAAACAATGAAGTCCTTTGCCAATCCAGTCTGATATTGAGCAGTATTTTAGACAAATTGCTCCTGCCAAGCAAGCATTCCAGTCTGTTGACTAGTTCTCACTGCAGCGAGACCTGCTATTAGGCCAGGCTGTGGAAAGGCACATTAGACTGAGCTTGCAGTCCAGCCCAGGCAATTCCATAGGGGATTACTGCCTAAGCAGCCAGCAGAGCACTTACCTGATATGACAGGCCATCCTTGCGGGGGCTTAGCCCAATCTCATCCATAGCTGGGGTGTTCATCATCACTTCAGTCATTTCAGCTGATCTCAGATAATCAGGGCTAGAAATAAAAGACAGCATTCAAATTATCTGAGGGCTCCAGAAGGGCTGAGCAAAATGTAAGCAGCATCAAGAAACTATAGCAGGTAGAAGGGGCTGTCACCAGTCTATTCCTGGTCCCTTCCTTCCTGTTCCTTCGGAGGGCAGAGGAAGGAGTCGGTATCGAGTAAACTGGCACTAGACCTCCAGCACCCTAGGAACAACTGTCCTGATTTCTCTCCAAGAACATAGCTCAAGAAAACCTTGTGAGATTTTAACAGCAGCTATTCAGTTTTCACTCTACTTCCTCCAGCTCTGCCCCCAAAAGGGCAGAGAAAAAAACACACAGTAAATAAGTGCAAGCACCGGAGTTTTTTTGTTCTTTTTTTTTAAAAGTCAGCATGCTTTAGCGCCTGCTGACTTATTTTACAACCTCAGGGACTTCCACGCCAGTGGAGTGAACCGGGCCAACTCCAGGTCTGCTTTTACGGTCATAATGGAGTTTCCAGCTCAACAGCTCGAGAAGTGAAGCAAATTCCCACAGTCCATAGTTCCTCTACCTCAGATTATGCCGCTGTTACTTAACTCATACCTCAGCGAGAAACGTGAGCTGACTTGTGCGCACACAAACGTGCCCCACGCTGGAGACGAGCCTGTTGTACGCCACTCTGACGGCCGCACGCCCAGGCAGCGCAGCCCTCGCTGCCGCATTACTCTCGTGCTCGGCACACGCCAGCCCCGGCAGGGTTTTCGGGAGCGGCCCCGGCAGACCCTCCTCGGCGGGCGCACCGCCCG